TTTAAACCAAAAATATCCCCTGAATATCATCTTAATACTGAACAATAATTTAGTTTAGCTAATAAAAAATGTCTCCCTTGAGCATTGTACTCTTTTTAAAACTACATGGATCAAACTGACAGTGTTGCTGTTGAGTTAGTTCTGACTCATAGCGACCCTGTATAAGGTTTCCAAGGAGTGGCTGGTGGGTTTGAACCACTGACCTTGTGGTTAGTCATGTAGTACTGGTCCTACAGCACCACAGCTGCAACTCAAAAGATTAAAAAGGAACTTTAGAGGGCAGAGACTTTATGTTCATGAATAACATTGTTCTCAGGTTCCACTGACTCAGATCAACCCTATGCACAACAGAAGGACACACTGCTATGTTTGAGTGTATTTGCAGCCACTGTGTCAGCCCACCTCAAGAGCGTCTTCATCTTTTCACTGTCCCTCTACTTTGCCAAGCATGATATCTGTCTCCAGGGCCAGGGCCCTCCTGGTAATAGGGGCAACAACTCAGAAACGTAGGGCAAGAAGGGTTGTACAGCTCAAAGAATATAATCAATGTCACGAAATTGTATATGTGGAAACTTGAACAAACGGGTATATATTTTACTGTGTGTATTCTCAACAACAACAAAATAAGTAAAATTTAGGGAGGGAGGAAGCAAACTAAAAAATAAGTCACAGTCTTGTACCAATAGAGAGAAATGTCAAGAGTTTAAGTAGAGTGGTCTGGATTCTATTTGAGGTCATAAAAAAGTAATGGGACATTTTCAATTCAGTCATTCATTCAGTCAATAGTATTTGTGATTCACTGTGTCAGGAGCCCTGGTGTGGTGCTGGGAGTTCTAGTATAAGGGCACCTAGGATAAGCTCTAGACTGCTAACTGCAAGGTCAGTGGTTCAAACCCACCAATCGCTCTTCAGAACCCCTACATAGGGTTGCTAGGTATCAGAACTGACTCAGTGGCAACAGAACAAACATCATGTGCCAGGTAGTATTCTTTGTACGGGAGATCAAAGCTGTATCAAAACAAAACCCTGACTTTAGGAACCTTACTCTATGGAGGAGTAAGTAAATAAATATATCACATCTCCAACTCTTTAAGTGCTAAAGAGAAAAACAAAGCAGACTGGAACAATAGGATGGAAGCAGCGCTCTCTGGCTTCCTTTGACTTCACAAGCAGGGAGGAGGAGAATCACCATCAGCGTGGGCCCACAGCCGGTTCCTAGGAAACCTGTGTGCACCCTCCAACATTCTTCACCCATGCTGACACCTCCCCAGCCATCCCTCCCACAGCACACTACTTCTCTTTTAACTAGACACTCCTTGACAACGGTCACACAGAACTCATAGACAATACTCACAACAGTGTCATTTATTAGGGAAGTTTGCAGCTTACAATTTAGGATCCCAGATGCTCGGGACACAGTTATTAGGTCAGGACAGCCTCTTCCCCACCAAGCTTGCAGGTTGACCCCTTTCTGGTTCCTTGGGATCTACCCTGATCCTGCAGTAGTACTACAATGTTCAACTGAAAAAGGTCCAAGGAGCATTCTATTTACACTATAGCCTTCAGACTGAAGTCATTCAGCTTTGTGGGTCAGCAAACCGAGCTCTCCCCATGATTTAGTGCAAGGAGGCTCCCCACTCTGCCCAAGGCACTCAACTTTCTTGCTCCACAGGCCAGGAAGCCCACTGCCCTGGCTCAGGCTCTGGCTCTTGGTTCTGCTTCTGCCACTCCTCTGGTATCACAGCTCTGTCTCCTGGGTCAGGGAGGTTCCATCCACAGGGATTGCGTGATCCGGGGATCGTGTGATCCAAAGGACATGCTACAATCCCACTCACCTTCTGACTTCTGAGATGGCTCATTTTATAGCCACATTAGGGTTCCAAGTTTTTACAATCATAATTAACCCTGTTAATCATATCATCCCATCAGCATCTTCTCCCACCCTCTCTTACCCAGACCCATTAGAAAAAAAGGTGTTTGGTGAGACTTACAGACCCTGGGTAGAAGAGCCATGTTCTGTTGCACTACACAGACTATGAGGGGGTGGTTGGATGTGGATATATTCCTTCTTAAAAAAAAAAAAAAATTCAAGCACAGCCTATAAACTAAACTCTACTTAACAATGAATTCTTTTCATCAAATTCTGTTGGGATTTGTCTTGAAGCTCTGAAGTGCGAGCAGACATGCTTACATTTGCAGACTAAACAACAAAAATCGTGTAAAGCCATTAAGACCTCGTCAACGCATTAAACAACCTACATTATTCCTGTTATTGCTGCTTTGACAAAAAAAATAATAATAATGACTATAATATGTGTCTTCTGTTTAGAACGGATTTGACAAAAAAAATAATAATAATGACTATAATATGTGTCTAAAGCCAACTAAACTTTCTTCCGTTTCGTGCACTTTGAGGTATTTTTAAAATCTGGCAATTATCTCTTCGTGGATCAGACAATCACTTAAAATAATTATCAAGCATGTCAAGTATGAAATCCTGCTTTCTTTTACTCTGAAATCCACACCATCCTTCACTCCACTGCTTAGAGGGGTGAAGCTTTTTAACACATCCATATGTTGTTGTGAAGTGTCTGAGTCAATTCTGACTCATAGTGACCCTGGAGAAGGTTTCCAAGGAGCAGCTGGTGGGTTTGAACTTCCAGTCTTGCAGTTACCAATCCAGTGCTTATCCTACAGTACCACACCAGGACTATGTATATATCTATAAATTGGCTGCCCATTTATCATAAGTTACTTTGCATTTGAAATGCCCTGTTTCTGAGCCACCAATAAAATCACCATGGAAATATACATCCTCTCTATTGCGTAGTGCCATTAATCAGACTGCGGTATCCTAGCTTCATTTTGATAGGTTCTTTCATTAATCTAGTAGTTCCCATATGGCTGCTTGCTACTTGACTATTTGATTCCTGTTGGATCTATTTCAAGTATTAAGGAATCAGCCAAGTATTAAACTAGAAATATGGTTACATCACTGAAGGGTCATGAGGATATGATGGTTTTATAAAGGATCGTTTATTCATCCTTCCTGGACTGCACATTGAATTCACATGATCTCGGAACATGTCCTCTTGTGTCTTCTGTCTAAACCCTATCTAAAGTCCATGGTATCTTCTCTTTTGAAGTTTGATTCTCAGGAAGATGAGAAATTGCTTCAAGCAACAGAGAAGTTTCAAGCTGAATGTGCCTTAAAGTTTCCAAATCGCCGATGCCTTCCGACAGTCATTGACATCAGTGGAAAAACTGTGTTTATTACACGTTATCTCAAGTCTCTTAACCCGCCACAGGAACTCCTTGATGTGTACCCCAACAGTCCCCAGGCAACTGCGGTAAGCATATCATCGTCAGTCAGTAGTGTTGTTAAAAATGCCTTAAAATTTCAATGCATTGTCAGATTAGTTACCGTGGTTCACTGTAGTGAAAATATTAACTATATGAATCATCTATGATTAAGAACTTAATGTACAAATTTGGTATTGAGAAAAGATCTGGGCCATTTGGCAGCTGCAAGTGACTCAAAGATCTCTAATCCTAACAAGGCTGGACATCTTTCCATACATGTATTGACCTTTCGTGTTTCTGCTCTCCACTTTGGGGAATTTATATTTCAGTATATTTTACCTTTTGTTATTAATTTATAGATAAATAACTTCTGTTGTTGGGGTTCAGGCCCAAAAGAAAAAACTTTCCAGTACAAAGGTGGAGTCCTGGTGTGGCGCTGTGGGTTAATACGCCAGACTGCAAAGCCATTTGAACTGCACGGTTGGTGGTTCAAACTCACCAGCTGCTCCTTGGAAACCCTATACAGGGTCGCTATGGGTCAGAGTCGACTCGACAAAACTCAACAACAACAAGTACAAAGGTACTGAGAGACCGAAAAAAACAACCAGGACTCATTCTGAGAGATATTAGTTTATTATAGAAAAGAAAAGAGATGGTTTATCACCAAGGGAATTTACCTACAAAGGGCAAAACACGGCTGTGTCCAGTGATGGCCAGCTGGATGGTGAAGTTTTTCCATGCGAGGTAAGGGGGCTAGGGTCTTTTTATATCAGGGAGTATAAAAGCTTCACACAAGTCAGGGCAGTATGCGGAATTAGGATAGGTAGGAAAATCACAAAGTGCAGGGCTGACTGTACCTTCCTAGAGAACAAAGAATTTTATCTGCATAGCTGGAGGAAGGAACTGTTGGGTCCTTCCTAGCATATGCATACGTAAAGCATGAGAAGAAGAAGTTTCGCTCCGCATAGCAGGAGAGGGGGGTTGTCTGCTCCTTCCTAGACAGACAAGAGCTTGAGTTCTCCCACCAGAAGCCCAACACCGTTGGTCTGGTCACGGGGGCCTGCTTAGTGGAGTCTGTGGATGAGACATTTCCACCATTATACATCACTGCATCACTGTCATCAAAAAGACCTCAGTTCTAACATGACCATCAGTGTCCACAACTCTGAGGCCAGAAGAGCTGGATGGTGCCCGGCTACCACTGCCAATTGCTCTGAAAGAGATCACATTAGAAGATCCCAGATATAGCAGGAGAAAATCTAGAACAAAACTCAAAACCATACAACAAAGAAAAAAAAAAAAAAATGGTTCACTGGTCAGAAAGATACTGGAGGAACCCTGAGACTATGGCTGTTGGTCACCATGCAGGTCTGGAACTGAACTCACCTTCATGGTTCGATTTTCAGCTAAGCAATAGAGATGTATATGAGGGCAACAGCAACACTAGTGAGGTACACAAACCATAGAATAGTCAATTGTTGTAATTGTTGTTAAGCACCATCAAGCCAACTCCAACTCATTGTTGTTATTAGGTGCCATCAAGTCGGTACCATCTCATGGTGCCCCTATGCAAAATAGAATGAACTGTTATGCCCAGAATTCAGGGTCCCCAAAGACCACCCAGGAGCCGTGTACCGATGCAAATACGTAAGGGTCGTTTAATCAAGCTCGAGCCAGGTCTCTAACCTTATCCGACATTTCGGAATAGGGAAAGAGCCCCGAATTCATTGTCTGCAGGGTTTTTATAGAATTTTCAAACAGCTCAGGTTTCTCAGCTTTACAATCTTTGGATT